GCTAGCATATCTTTTTATAGGTGGCACCATTTTATTGTGTTTTAATTAATTAGTCACTAACTGATGGAAAAATGTCAGGGAAAATTAGCCGGTGAAGAGTTAGAAATATTGCAGTGATAAGGCTATCAAAAAGTTCGAGACAAGGATTAGTGTAGTTTAAGAATGAGTTAATACTCATAGCAGAGCTACAGCGCATGAATTTAGTTCGTTTGCTTGGATGCTGCATACAACCTGAGGAGATGATGTTGGTTTACAAATACATTCCTAACAAAAGTTTGGACTCATTTTTTTTTAGTTAGTAATCATACGCAAAAACCTAAACTCTAGTCGTTAATTGATACCATATAAGTTATTTAATTATATATATGTTACTGCCCTTCAAATTTGGCAATGCAAAAAGTCATCATTTCAATATAGCACAATCTATTAAATAACAACGATATGTTATGACGTGAAACTTGCCTTTAAATTGCTTGTTTTGCAATAAAATTTTGCACACTAATACTTCTTTATGGTTTGTGATGTTTTGAAGATGCATGGAAGATGAGCATGTTAAATTGGCGAATGAGAGTGATGATTATTGAAACCATTTTATAGGGGCTTCTTACCTTCATCAGCATTTAAGACAAAGAATCATGCACATAGGGATCCAAAATCCAGTAACATATTACTCAATGCTAATATGAATTCTAAAATTTCTAACTTTGAAATGGCAAGAATTTTTAAGCAAAATAACTTATTGTCAACACAAACAGAATTGTTCGGACATACATGTCTAAAAAAGTATTTAAAAATACATGATTGATTACTATTTTAAGCGAAATGGTAAGTTTTCATTTTTAACCAACTGGCTCTTACTCCTTTTCTTTTATCAGTGGATACATATTTTTTGAGTATGCAATGAATGGAATATTCTATAAAAAAATCAAACATTTTCAGTTTTAAAGTCATAATCCTTGAAATTTTAAGTGGCAATAGCTAGGAATAACAGCTTTTATGATATCAATAAACCTCTAAACCTAGTAAAATATGTAAGTGTTTTTGTTTACAATTTTTCTTAAGTATGCTAGTAACTAAAATAAATATAAGGACTATATATAATTTGAAAATTACTATTGCAAGCTTGGGATTTGTGGCGAAATGGAGTTGGCCTTTGCGTAATGGATCTAAGTTAGCTGATTCATGTTCCAATCAATAATTTCTTAAATTTATTCAAATAGGTCTTTTGTCTGTAGAAGAATATCCAGCAGATAAAACAACTACTCTAAAAATTATTGCTATGATCACAAATGAAAGCACCATTTTGCCTGTGGTAAAGAAACCTGCATTTACAAAAAGATGATGTTACTAAACAAACAGTCAAAGGGATGACTTAGAATACCATTCCATCGATGATGTGTCGACAACTACCATGAGTGGAAGATAGAGGCATGTGATCTTAAATATTTGGATATACTCCTTCCATCTTTAAATATAAAAAATATTATTATATGGTTTTCTTCTTTTTATATATAAGCAAAACAACCATCTTGAAGGTTGTTATATACTCCCTCCCTCCCTCCCTTCATATATAAATATACAGTATTTTTTGAAGAGTTAGATGTTTAAAAATGTAAGACATTTTTACTTTTTCAATATATAAACATTATCTTTTTTTTTCAAAAAAAACCTTACTAAATAAATCACTTTATATTTATTTTAAGGTGAAACACCCTATTAAATAAGGGTAAATATAAAAAGATAAAGTTAGTTTGAAGACAAGTAATTACTTTAGTGGAGGTGATATTTAATTAAAAATATCTTATATTTTTGAACAGATGAAGTATGTGTTAGGATTAACTAATTTTTTAAAATTGTTTGAATTGTTTAAAATTTACTTATAAAACAGAGGGAGTAACAAGGTTGTTATAGTCTTAATAAGTTGAGAAATTAAGGGGAAGAGAATTAAATGATATTTTTATTGGCAAATTAAATAAGTAATTCTTTCTTTTAAGAAAACACTTTGTTGGGCGCAAGTGGAACAAGAATTTATGAATTTGGATGCTATCACCACTTCGAAAATGTAATCGAGAGAATGGCTTCGAATTCGAAACAATATTCCAAATAATTGTTGGAATTTTTGTGTTTGTGTCTATCAAAAACGAAGTCTCACATCGCTTAAATTTGTGGAAGTCTTGGCACTTATGATGAGAACTTGAACAGTGGATAGGCCAAAAAATGGATCAGCTGGCTTGCCTCACTATATTGGGCACTTTTACTGAAGATATTTTCTAATTCTGGACTCCATAATTGTCTGTCTATGAGTTTTAATTAGCCAGTTTTATTTCTTCATTAACCAAATTTAATTGCTTTAAACCACTATTTTTTTATACAATAAACCACTATTAATATATTGGAAATTGTTGTCTTTAACTGGTTTTATAGTTGCACAATGATTATCAGCTTATAAAAGCTTGTCTCATACTGTATGTTTGTCCACCCCCAAGCTCTTGAATGTTCTAGCTCTTCTCTTCTACCTCCTGAGTTTATATATAAATAAATATATAAATAAATAAATAAATATATATATATTATATATAAATAAATATATAAATATATAAATATATATATATATATATATATATATGCTATTTTGTGTCCCTACTTTTTGTAAAATGGATTGTTTAATTCTAAAGATAGTTGCCACATTCATTAATTATTCGATGAGGCAAAATAATACTTAAAGATAGTATTCTTGGACACAATTCTTGAACTACCTTTTCTACAAGATTTTCTGATAAAATAATGAATAGTGGGTCAGTTTTCTACTTTAATTGCAAGATAAGAACATGAATCTATAGAAATATTTGTGTATGGAAGATTTAACAATAAATATGATGTCACCTAACAATACATATATCTATTACTGGATGGATACTTTTCCACGCCCATTCAGTGGTAGTGATTGAAGCATAGCTCACTTAATTAGTGGTACATTCATCAACTCTAAATTCATCTATTTATATCATTTATCATATAATAGTATTAAATAGACAATCAATTTAATCGTAATTATTTTTTATGATTAATTGATGTTTTCATATGATATAACTAATAGATTAATTTGGCCAAAAAATAACTAATATATTAATTTAATTAAAAAATGACTTGTGTAATATAATCCAAAATTTCAAGTAATTTAAAACTATCAACTCTTAGTTTTTTTCCCCTAATAATGAATAGCTTGCGTTAAAGTTAAAAAGAAGTTACATAATATGTATAGTCATAAATGTCCTTAAAAGATATTAAATATCTTCTTGGGTCCAACTCAAATTGTAAATTGAAAATAAACTATTAATTAATAATATAAATCTCTCTAAACAAGTTTTTTTATTCTTTCAAAAAAGTTATACACATGAAATTGTCCTTTCACTTTTATACTATAAATCTAGGAATGTCTGAAAATCTAACCTTATTTTTAATATAATATTTTTTTTAACTTTTAAAAATAATATAATATCGCTATTGCTAACAAAAGTTAATTATAATTATCAGATGACCAAAAAAATATAAAAATGTTAAAAAATATAAAAAAAGACCCAAATTGCAGACCATTACCCAAAAAATAATGAAAAAGATCAAGAAAATTTTCTTAGTCATTTTTTATATTTTGTTTTGTTAACTAAAGATTAAAGCTAATATTTATTAATAATATGGACAATATTAAAAGTTAAAAAGGCTTATTGCCCTAACTTATAAAAGACTTATATAATTAAATATGATCCTAACACTCTCGAGTTTTAAGCTTATTTGACTTAGCTCAAATACCTAAATTGTCAATATTTTTTTCATTTTTTAAAAACAAATTTTAATTTTAATTTTAAAATTAATTAGTTTTATTTTTATCAAAAAATATAAAATATAATTCTTGGAATACTTAAAAAATGAGAAGATTAATTTTTTTAAAAAAATCTGTTGTCTTAAATTATAAAAATCAAGATTGATATATATTTTAAACATTATTTTAAGATATTTTATAGATTAAAAATAATAAAAATATAATAGTATTAATATTTTAAATGTTTAAAAAATATTTAAAATAATGTACTCAAATATATAGTCTCTCACTATAAAAAGAACTAAAATTTAAAGAAATATTTAATATTTAATATATTTAATATCTATATATTTTAAAAGTACAATGTTATTCGGTCCGGGTATAGCCAGGGGATGGCTTGAATAGATTACAATTAAATAGTTAATATTTATATATTTTAAAAGTATAGTGTTATTTGGTCTGGGCTTGACCGAGATGACTTGAATAGTTTACTACATAAAAAATTTACAATTCTGATAAGCCCAATTTTATTTTATTTTTTTAAATTTATTTGGATTTACTCATTAAATTTAGTTCAAACTATCGACTCTAGGAATAGCGTGTTTTGCAAGGGTCAAAATGTTGACTTTGTATTTATTTAATGCCATGAAGAATTGTGCAGATTCAAAGAAGAGACACCATTAATTATTTTTGTTAAATCATAAATGGGTCCTCTAAACCTCAGCATCATCCGCACTGCATTTTTTATCATGCCAATTACGAGCTGGAAATGACATTTGTACTTTTAAATTAATATTTGGACAAATTCATCATTGAGATGACTTTCACGTGAATTTTAGTGAGTTGCTTCACTTTTTTCATAAATATTTTAATTATAATTATAAAATTTTATTAATATTTAAAAGTTATATATATATATATATATATTTATATTTATATTTTTCTTTAAAAATTTCAAACTATTTTTTATCCTCAAAACATTTTAAGCATGTTGTCCCTTCAAATATTTGAGATTTAATATTTTTTTAAATATCATAAAACACAATATTTGATAGTGATTTAGTTAAATCAACAATTGTTGTTGTGTCATGTAAAATATTCATTAAATGAGTTGATTTGCGCTCATTGCAGGTTCAAATCCAGCTTAACTTGCATCCTTAATTATTATTATTTTCCTTTTTTTAATCACAACGATGATATTTAGAATCCTGTCCTAATTGATATCTCTGTGCATAGAAGCATAGATGCCTAGCCGGGAAAACTCATTGATGTATCTTCACCTTCTCATCCTGGTGATTATTTCTCCCCTGTTCTTCAGCTGCATCGTCGTGTTTGCAGAAACCAACACTCTGAATCAATCCGACTCACTCAACTTCACCGGTCGCTTGGTTTCCAACAACCAGAATTTCACCCTAGAATTCGTCAAACCTATTCCCTTCAGCAACAACACTTACTTGGCCATCTGGAATTCGTACGAATCATCCTCGTACCCTGTTTGGCTAGCCAACAGAGACAACCCAATCACTGACGGTTCTGCAACTCTCTTCATCGACAACACCGGAAAGTTTGTGATCAATCAGACTCATGGTGACCCAATTCAATTGTGCCCTGGCGAAGCCGCGACCAACAGCACCACCAACACAAAGGCTGTGTTGCTCGACAATGGAAATCTTGTACTGACAGAAGTGAATTCCGATGGATCTGTCGGGAGAACCTTGTGGCAGAGCTTTGACTGTCCCACTGACCATCTGTTACCTGGCATGAAACTAGGGATCAATCACAGAACAGGAAGAAATTGGTCTCTCACTTCATGGCTGGCCTATGATGATCCATCTCCAGGAGCTTTCACACTCGAATGGGACCCTCATGGCTTAGAGTTAGTTCTTCGGCGAAGAGGGGTTGTTTTCTGGACCAGTGGTGGAACAACCTTGGGAAACATAGAACAATTGTCCCATAAAATACAATCTTATGAAATGTCATATACCAAAACTTCAGATGAAGAGTTCTTCAATTATTCACTGAAACAAGACCCTATGGATCCTGGGATTCATGAAAGCATAGAATGGATCTTAGATTACGAAGGTAGTATTTGGTTTAACAACGAGGAAGTGGCATTACAGGATTATTGTTATGGGTACGAGGAAGATGTGGGATGTGCAAAATGGGAACAGCTAGAGTGTAGGAGTGAGAATACGAGATTTGAGCTATTGTCTGGGTACTTTGTGAGTAAGAGAAATGGAAAATTCATTGATGGTGAGAGTGAAAGCATTGGGCCTGCTGATTGTAGAGCTAGTTGTTGGAATGACTGTAATTGTCAAGCATATCTCAAGAGCCGCAGCGTAGGTTGTGTCACATATCATCAAGAAGCAGAGTTCCAACTAGACCCATCTGGGAATTCGCAACAACATTTTGTTATCCAACAATCACAAAACAGTAAGTTTGTGAATTCATATCCAACTTAGTTATATACTTCCTCTGTTACACAGTTCAGTGTTAATTGTTTTATTGAAAATTGTTTATATTATATAAAAAAAAGTTTTCAATTTAACCTTATTTATGCATCATCTTTAAAAAAGAGAATTTTTTTTTCATATGTAATTTTTACACTATTGATAGAAAATTATGAAAGGGTAAACATAGAAAAAAGTATGTAATGATCTTTTTTGTAAATTAACCTATAAAAAGGATTATTAATTCTTTCAAAAAGATTACTTATATATAGGACCAAAAGGAGTGTATGTATGTAAACATTCCTTCTAGTTAATTATCTTTAAAATTATATACTCTTTTCATATTTATTTCTATTTAACAAGATGCCTCAATTAAAAACCTTTATTAATTACATCTCTAATTAAGGGTATTTTTAAAAAAATAATATTAATTACACTTTAAAAGACTTAAAATACCTTATATTATTTAATATTTTAACTTAAAAAATGTTTTATATTTTTTAATAGATGAAGTATAAATATTACATTATATCTTCTATATTAATTGATAGCAATAATGTATGTTACCCTCCATTTGAAGTTAACTAAGTTACAAATGAAGACTGACATACACGGTACCTTACAAAATATAACTTTAAATTTCTCTGACAGGTGTAATGTTTTGAAAATAAATAAAAGGTATCTATAATTAAGACAAAGCATGAGGACAGTCAAAAATAATTTACTCATAAAAAATTAGATGTCATTATGTAGACTACTAGATTTCACTAAAAATAATTTTTAACATACTTAAAATGCATTGTAATACTTGATTTCATCTTTATCTCTTCTTTTAATAGGTTGTTTCTACTTCAAAAAACAAAAATTCTCATTTTGACTAAACCACACCGTTGCAGAAGGAAGGGACACAAAGAAAAGGATTGCAATTTCAGTTCCGATTTCATTGTTGTCAGTGTCTGTCATTGTCATTATCTTGTATCGGAGATGGAAAACAAAAGGTGATGTGCAAAATCTTTATCCCCACTGTTCTAAAATCTGAATATGAATTGACTAATATACTATTTCTGGGCACATAACAAACAATACAGGGAGAAAAGAAGACCATCTACATCAATCGGAAACAACAAGCAGTAATTTGCACGATCCAAATGAGCTTGGATACGATGATGGCTTTTCTCAACATTTGAAAATGTTTACCTTTGTCTCTATTGTTGAAGCTACAGATGACTTTTCTGTACAAAATAAGCTTGGAGAAGGTGGTTTTGGCCCAGTTTATAAGGTAAGCATCTCTGTTTAGTTTTGTTACCATTCTATTGTTTTTGAGTTACTAATTTAATCTAATGGCAAAATGGTCAGGGAAAACTACCTGAAGGGGTAGAAATTGCAGTGAAAAGGCTATCAAGGAGTTCAGGACAAGGATTGGTGGAGTTTAAGAATGAATTGATACTCATAGCAAAACTACAACACAAGAATCTAGTACGTTTACTTGGATGCTGCATGCAATCTGAGGAAAAGATGTTAGTTTATGAATACATGCCCAATAAAAGTCTAGACTCCTTTCTCTTTGGTTAGTTTATTTCATTATGTTACCACCTTTTACATTTTGCAATGCAAGAATCTCATCATTTCAATGATACAATCTATTCGAAAACAATTTATATTCTGAAATGAAACTTGTCATTAAACTGCTAGTTTAATAGTTTGTTGTAATCTCACATGTTGAAACTTTGTATGTGATTGTAATTTTGAAGATGCATCCAAGAGGGCGGCATTAAATTGGAAAATTAGAGTGATGATTATTGAAGGGATTTCACAAGGACTTCTTTACCTTCATCAACATTCAAGATTAAGAATCATACACAGAGATTTGAAAACCAGTAACATATTACTTGATATAGACATGAATCCTAAAATTTCTGATTTTGGAATGGCAAGAATTTTCAAGGAGAATGAGTTCATAGCCAAGACGAACAGAATTGTTGGGACATAGTAAGTTTAATAAATTTTTAAAATATATACATGCAAATTGGTTTTGTTTCAAGCAAAAAGCATATGCTTCCATTTCTAACCAAATGGCTCTTTATGTTTTTTTTTTTCAATTAGTGGATACATGTCTCCCGAGTATGCAATGGATGGAATATTCTCTATAAAATCAGATGTTTTTAGTCTTGGAGTCATAATTCTTGAAATTTTAAGTGGCAAGAGGAACAGCAGCTTTTATGAAGTCAATAAACCCTTGAATCTAATACAATATGTGAGTAATTTTATTTGTATTTGTCTTAAGCATGCTTTTGAACTAAAATGAGCATTAGTTACTTCAGTAATAACCTACCTTTACGTACATATCGTATATATAAGTTGAAAATTACTATTGCAGGCTTGGGATTTATGGCAAAATGGAGTTGGTTTAGAATTGATGGATCCAATACTAAGCAAGTCATGTTCGAATCAACAATTTCTTAGATTTATTCAAATAAGTCTTTTGTGTGTAGAAGAATCTCCAGCAAATAGACCAACTACATCAGAAGTCATTTCTATGATCACAAATGAAAGAACCCTTTTGCCTATTGTGAAGAAACCTGCATTTACAAATTTAGACTGTATCACCAATGTAGATGGTGAAAGAAATGACTTTGAATACCGTTCAGCCATGAACAATCTTTCTATATCTACAATGAATGGAAGATAGAGGTATGTTATCTTAAATATTTAGACATAACAGCACTGTCAGGTCTTGACAAGTTGAGAATTAAGAGAAAGAAACAAGTAGATTGAATATTTTTATTATTGCGTAGCGGTTTTTTTTTTTTTTTAACAAATGATTTTTCATTATTGTTGTTTGAGCACATGCTTCATGCTTGTCCTCACGGTGCAATAAAAGGCGTATTCTCTAATATCTTAATTTTCAAAATTTTCAGGGGCAAGATGAACAACTACTTGCAGAATCTCCAAGAAACATCTTAATCTCACAAAATTACACTTCAACGCCTGTAAACAACCTGTAGAATTGTTTGTGTTATATTTTTTGAGACCGGTAAAAGCTTGAAATTACAGTTAAACGTCTCGTATTTTAATGGTCTCTGTCTATTTGCTTCACTGGCTTTAAATTGTGTATAACTGTTGCAAAAGGATTCATTATTAAATGATTCATGTTCCCCACAATAATCTGTTAAACTTATTCTAGTATATATCCGTAGTGCGTCAAAAATTCTCCAAAAGCCGAAAAAAAAAAAATTTACCCCTTCCCAGTTTCCTAATGTACACAAATTCTCGTATTTAGTTTAGTGGTTCTGTGATGCGATCATAAGCCAACAATGTCAGAAGTCATTTGTGCGATAACAAATGAAAGCATCCATTTGCTGCCTTGTGTGCGCCCCAATGGAAGTTCGCAAAGAATTGACTTCAAAACAAATACCAAACAATGAATGAATAGCGTGTCTATTTCTACTTTGAGTGCAAGAAATGAATATGAATCCAACAATACTGGGAATATATACCAATATGTTGTTATATAGAATTTATATATTTTATAAATGATAAGTGTGATATTTTGATGAATCCACTCAATATATTGGAATATATGCTATGCTATACTCCTTGCTTTCCATCCATGGAAAACAGTATTCTCATTTTCAATTAATTTAAAAACGATCATATATATCCTTCAAACTTCGAAGTTAATCCAGCTTTCACATTCTCAGAGACGCTCCTCCGGTCTCTGGATTCCTAAAATAAATTTTATTAGCTACAAACAATCCGGAAGAATCCCAACGACAAAGATAAATCAGCCACTATTTCACATATTGTCCACTAAAGACTGGCTGGCACTATGATAGACCGGAACATGTTATCAAATGATTTGTTGCAAAGCAAGTACCTAGGGAACACACCGCTCTGCATACTTCAAATTGCCCATTCTATGGTTCATCAAATGAGAAAATGGACAACAAAGACAATAAATTAAATAATGATCTGCAAACATTTTCTCTTTCATGCCGTAAGTAGAAGGAACTTTTGGTGTTCTAAGCACAAAAACTGAGCTTCTTCATCACTTTGGCGAATGCTGGAGGGACAATAGCAGGTTTTCTCAGTCTCCGTTTTGATTTCTTTGACTGCAGTTAATACCAGAAAATTATCAGTTTCAAAAACAGTGGAACATCCTAAGGTATGCTCACATAAACCAAATGGCTATCATTTACCATGTCCAACAATGAGGGAAATGAAACTACGACCTAAGCGGAGGTCTTATTGTTGAAAAATTTTGTCATGGTATGTGGGTTAGCATTGACCAACCATCAAATTTGTTTACCAAAACACATTTATGTAATTGTGTATAGCACTTAACAGCTACCAAAGTCTAAATGGGATGGAAAACCTTACTTCAAAAGCTAACTATTGAGGTGTAAGAACGAATGCACTTAAATACTTAATTGAGTATCTCATACTATTCAAGGTAGAACTTGATATCACATGTTAACAAGTCTCTATCAATTGACCTCCTATGAAAAGATCACACTCGTTGGTTGCACTCTATGACACTTGACTTCCTGCCGATCAAAATTCTTTGTGGGTAGCCCTCTCTAGAACAGTCAACAATCTGAATTTGATACCAATTGATAGGTACCAAAGTAGGATGTGAAACTCTACCCCAAAAACTAGCTGTTGAGATAGAAAAATTAATGCACTTAAATATCTCATTAAGCATCTTATACTACTTAATACAAGACTTGATATCTCATACTACTAAGCCTCCATGAGCACTTTATTAAAATAGACAGGGTTTAACAAAATAGAACATAACGGGTTGTGAAATTCAATTATGAATTATGGAAGATATCTCAACTCATAGACGAGCTAGGGATCCTATTTAAGCTTGACTAGGAGCATTTCTGTAATTGACCACTCTTAGCCCTTTATATGTGGTCCGTAAAAATTTCGCCCCACCCATTCTTGCTCTTTTGGTCGATGTGGGTTGTGGCATGCTCTCATCTTCCCCATCACTACTCTCACTTGAGCAATTATGGATTATACACTCAAATTTCAGGTATGTCCTAGCAATTTGTTCTCATTTATTTTAGCATTTATAATATATCAGTCCAAAGATATCATCAAACATTCTAACTTGCGAGTCTTTCATGCTCTTCAAATTTCAACCAGTCAAGAATAGACTAGAGCCCCCAGGCCAAATACAGAACAGGGGAAGTCCCTCGAATCATCTAAGCAGCTGGCCTCTTTTTTATTTATATATTTATTCTTTTTTTGGATACATGGCCACATTTGATTAGACTGGACAGTGAACTACCACGTTAAACTTCATAGTTTGCACTACGTTTGCGACAGATATTATTAAAGGGCCCACATACACTAAACTACAGATGAATTTTCATGATCCACAACCATGTGCATGTGTACTGTCAGCTATCCGAAGAAAGGCCTCATGTGCTATGCATAATATGGTCCATAACATCCATGTCAAAACAGACAGTCACACCACAAAGGCAATAAACCCAACTAATTTGCATTTTGGATTATCCATATGTTTTGCAATAAATTGAAATAAACCCCTCTTATGGCAACCACGAGCATCAAAGCAAGGCCTCAATGCATCCAATTTGCATTTTAGTTTTTCCCAATGGCCTATGCATAATAATGTGACCACAAAGGAGCATCCTAGGGAGATTCAAATTCATCTACCCCTCATCAACGATGAAATCATGAAAGCCAAAGTATATGTGGCCACAAGTTGTAGTGAATCAGAAAATAGTATCTAGTCATTATCTCTTGTACATGATTTGATTTGTCTATTACATGTAGTCAAGGAATGCCAAGCACAACAGTCCCTAAGCCTATATTTAGGAAACAAAATATAGGAAAGGAATTGAGAATATTAAACTTTGTGAATTAATTGCGTAATACAAGCACTAATACTTTTCCTCTCTTATCTTAATATTACAAAGAAATGCAAATGCTTACGAATGTATGTGTGCGTGCAGTTGGGCTGGAAGAATTAAAATACTGGCATCAAGTTAGTCTTCCAATATTTAAAGAGGAGCCAGTAAAGCCACGGGATATTGGGTATCCTCTCTATTTTTCACCATACAGTGGTAAGTGAATCAAGCAAGCTCTAGTCCATCAAGGACTATAGACTTAAAGTCTTACAAGATCATATACCAAAGAGAAAGTTGCAATTATTTATCCATTCAGAGGATTTTATAGTGAGATGTGAAAGAAAAATGTATCATATTCCACATTCATGCATAAAAATTCTTTGGACGCCAGGTTTTCAGGGCCAAAGATTTGTTAAGATTTTAAGATTTAGCCAAGAAAGGATTTGCAAATTTATTTACGCCTCGTATGAAGCTTTTGAGGGAATCCTGAAAATAGGTGTAATGTGATTTATTTGGGTGCTTCAAGCCATGAAAACGATGATAAGGATTCTAGAGAAAGCCACTCCAGGAACTCACTTTTTAATGGCAACTAAAGTATCAGATATTTTAAGAGCTTAATCTATCAAAGTATAAGAAAAAGGAAGACCTTCAAATGAGCATTGTGCCGTTTGCCCTCCTTCCAGCGCCTGATCGTCCCATCATTCAATGTTCTGAACCTGGACTTGTAAGACCTGTTCCATAAATTGTGAGCTGAAAATGAGATGCTATAACAAGAGAAATAAAAAAAGAAAGATGCAGGTGTTAAGGTGAAACGACGCACGAATAAAATTTCATTTTGAATTTCTTGAGCTTGGAAGTGACCGGCGTCATTGGCTTCCTTCTCTTCTTCCGCTCTCTTGAAGAAACGTGCCGCACTTGAACCAACTACAGTTTCATAGAAGAACTAAAATGATGTCACAATAACGATCAGAGCGACACCATGAAACAAACTCAAAATATAACATCAATCGTAAGCAACTAAACTCAAATTTATCATTTATTATTCAGTTGATGAGGGAGGCAAAAGAAATGAACATTTCACTCTTAAATTACTTCGGAACCGAGAAATCAACAACTCATAAGTACAACATACATCAATTTAAAATTCCCAAATCGAAGCCAGTGTCTTCTGACGCATTTTCTCAGCACCCAGACAAAACTCATAAGAGGGGGGGATAGAAGCTCGAAACCAATAACTTACAGAGGGAGGCAAAGGAGAATAGCGAAAGGCGTAAAGAGCCAATGTAGGAGGGGATGATGACGAGGCATTGAAGAGGGAAGAAGGAAGCCGATTACAGGAAGAAAACTGGAGAGGATGAGGGGAGTAGTGAAGCAGACGACGAGAAGATGGTGAGGGAAGAGGAAGGCGAGAGTGAAGAGCCAAAGAGCGAAGCCTGGAGCAACATCTCAGCATCATCGTCGCCGTCAACGGCGGAAGCTTTCGGCTACGGCGTTCGCCGAATTAACACCTGCGAAGAAGGGATTTAGGCATCGACATGAGGATCCAGATTTGGTTTTCGCCACTGTAGAGTGTCTGGGCCTTCATTGGTTCCTTTAGCCGCTGTCATAATATGATCTTTCATTCTCAAAAGCCCAAAACCTACTTTCAAAAAATAATGCTAATAATAAGTTTATCAAACTGATAACGGCTAATGGAAGAACCTAGCAATTTTTTAAGTGTATGTTTTGATTAAAAAATTTATAAGCTAAAGTTAATAAATTAAGGTTAAAAAATATGTAATTTTAATATAATTTATATTTAAATTTTTTTAAAAAAAATCGATTAGATAAATTAAAATTGATTTAAATGATTTAATATAAAAGTCAGTTAAGATGTATAATGATAAAATTGGATATAAGTTTTCTTGTATATATTTTTATAATTAATTTAATATTTTTTAAAAAATATTAAACTTAAAATTATAATAGAACAAAATAAATTCATAAATTGACACTTAATTCTATTGGGGATAATAACAATTTATATTTTATTATTTTTCAAAAATATGTAACTGTAAAATGAGCATTCAAATTAATATAAATAGTCAAACAAAATAAATATGATAAAAACCAGATTATTCTCACAAGCCACGGAGATTAAAATAAATTGGATAGGGAAAGATTTGAAAGGTAAGCCAAAGAAAAGATGGCTTTTGTGGTTTTCA